TTACATGAAACCCATTAATTTTTCTGAGTGCCTGTTTCTCCCCTGCCATCCCCCACACCCCAATAAACATGAGGGGATTCTTGCAATTGTCTTAGCGTCGTTTTAAGAACCACAAGAATTAAGCGGGCAGAGTTTAATTGACCATAATTCTAAGGCTATGAAGGCCCACAAGTTGCTCTGCGACTCCGCGACAGCATTACGAGAAAATTATTTGCCACCCTCCTCATTTGCTGCTCGATTTTGACAACAGAACCCAGCCGTACAACCCGTTTACAACCCTGCGACCCGTCCAACCCGTTTACGAGCCGGCGACCCTTCCAACCCGTTCACACAACCCAGCGACCCTTCCCACCCGTTCACACAACCCAGCGACCCATCCCACCTGTTCACACAACCCAGCGACCCTTCCCACCCGTTCACAACCCTGCGACCCATCCAACCCGTTCACAACCCAGCGACCCTTTCAACTCGTTCAAAACCCTGCAACCATTCAACCCTTTCACAACCCAGCGACCCTTTCAACCCGTTCACACAACCCAGCGACCCTTCCCACCCGTTCACACAACCCAGCGACCCTTCCCACCCGTTTACAACCATGCGACCCGTCCAACCCGTTTACGAACTGACGACCCTTCCCACACGTTCACACAACCCAGTGACCCTTCCCACCTGTTCACACAACCCAGCGACCCTTCCCACCCGTTCACAACCCTGCGACCCATCCAACCCGTTCACAACCTAGCGACCCTTTCAACCCGTTCAAAACCCGGCAACCATTCAACCCTTTTACAACCCAGCGGCCCTTTCAACCCGTTCAAACCTCTGCAACCATTCAATCCTTTCGCAACCCAGCGACCCTTTTAACCCGTTCACAACCCTGCAACCCTTTCAACCCTTTCACAGCAACCATTTTGACCCGTTCACAACCCAGCGACCCGTCCAACCCGTTCACAGCCCGGCGACCCTTTCAACCCATTTGTATTCAAGCAATAGATGCACATTCAATGCGTTTTTAGTTTGACCGCTCCACGATTATTCTGCTTGTCGTAATATGTTCAACATTCGGTAGGTTGTAATCTCCTCGTTGACACGGTTAATCGTTGGAACAAGGTTAATAGGCTTTGATTATTTCAATACTAACTGTTACACCTTGACAAGTGACGATGTCTGAATCTATGGTGTCTGAATCTATGGTGTCTGAATCAATGGTGTCTGAATCTATGATTTCTGAATCCACGCGATATTAATTTGCTGCTCTGGATCAATGGATTCAGATTCCAGGTAAGGAAAAGGCTAGCACCTCGATCGGATCTTGATTTTCGGAGATGCTTGAAATACAAAAATTTTATCTCGAAATAAAGCTCAATTATAGTACACTTGAATACACATGAATTATTGTACACTTGAATTATGGTACACTTAACATATTGTACACTTGACTCATTTTACACTTGACACATTGTACACTTGAATTATGGTACACATAACATATTGTACACTTGACTCATTTTACACTTGACACATTGTACACTTGAATTTTGTACACTTGAATTTTTATACACTTGAATTATTGTAGCCTTGAATTATTGTACACTTGAATTATCTTACTTGCTAAATTTGTTTCGAACAAAATTTTTTTCGTGTGAAATCATTTTGCATAAAATTTGCATCCCATGCATGAATAATCTGAAATTTTCGTGTTGTTTACGTAAATTTGAGTTATTAAAGTTCAACTTTCGTAAGATTTAAATGAAAAAATTTAACCTTCGAAAATTCAGGCAGAGCCAAAGGCATTTTTAGTCCCACAATTTATAAACTAAATTTATCTCATTAGCAATCTGAAGCAGAATAGAAGTTGCTAAATTATTTTTTCAAAAATCTCTTTTTAAAAGTTAGCATTTCAAAACTGATGAGTAGTTAATCAACTTATTTTGGAAATTTATATGCTTGAAAGTCAAGGAATTCAAAGCTAAACTAAAAGTGAAGTCGTTGAAGAATTTCGCAGCCAGCGAGGCTGACGCTTGATGCGTTTAATAGAGACCATGAGTCAGATGCAGTCGCTTCTCCGCAAATATTCCCCTAATATAGTGCATCCCCCCCTAATATAGTGCATCCCCCCCGTAATATAGTGCACTCCCCAACAAAGGGGATGTCTGAGACAATGGCTGCACACATCCTAACTCCCCCTGTGATGTGCGGTCATTCCCTCTTGGTCATTACACAATGACTTGTGCTTCATATCATTCGTCAACATCATTTCTTATTTAAACACATTTACCTTACCTAAGCTTGACATTCACTCCCTTCCACCAATTCCTTGTTTACTAATCTTCTATACTTATCATTTCGTTCATTCTGTGACGTATTTTCTTAGTTACTTATGTACCTCTTCTCCATTTCTGCTTATCTTTAATCTCTGATCTTTTGTAAACTGTATTCATTCTTTACATTATTTACTTCCGACTGGCATTATATTTTCTAAGGTCGCCTCAATTACCTGTTTGAGGATGAGCACGAAAATAGAACGCAAAAAACTAATAATCTGCGCGATGTCTTCGAGTTTGTTCAATCAATCACAACTTACCTTGATTTTCCAGTCATGTTAATGGCAGTGAAGCATGATTTTACCGTTGATTGTGAAACGAATTTCCTCACGGAGTTTTATGGTACGTATCACTCAGTCAGTTCAGTCATCAAAGCGTAGACGATATCCACTAAAGTTATCGAAGCGACTATAATTCATTTTTACCTATCAGAAGTTAGGAAAAGTTTCATGAAAATCTACGGGGAGCGGAAGCCTGTTTTGAGGATGCAGCTTAGAGCGACGGCGGCAGGTCTGGGTTGTTCAATGGTGTCCATGTTGTGGAAGTGTTTATGAGCCACATTGTCTATGGCTGGGAGCTTATGTCGCCCTCTTGGAGTGGTTTGTGTTTATGATGAGAATTGTCTTGGTTTGGAAGTTTATGCCAGCCTCTTGGACTGCTTTGTGTGGCACTAGGCGATGAACGTTTGTTGCCTCGGACAGGAGAACCATTACTGGCTCGCTCCAAAGAAAATGAAAACCACCCAGAAAATTCACGGCAAAAGCTCTACTGCTCCTCCTGTAAATACCCGAGAAAAAACTCAACATTATGGTGATTAAAAAGACTCGAGATGAACTGCGGTACAGCCGCGCCAGCCAGAGCGAGAAAATTAGCGATACATGGACAGGAAAATGAGCTCTCCGGACTCCGGCTTGTGGGTAATGCACGTTCCGCTATGTTGACTTCATTGTTTTTGATGGAGACTCCATGGTGCGGACTCCATTCATTTAAAAACTTAATTTGTGCACATGAATCCACTGCAGTTCATGTCTGCGTCATGCATGTTTGGTTCGGATTTATTAATAAAAGCTTAGATACTTTCTGATTGTAGTTTATTATAACTAGATTGAGACTAGTCTGGCGATAATCAGTTACCCAACGTGAAAGATTATGCTAAACTAAACACTAAAAGATCAGTACTAGTAAATGAAACCAATCCAAGATAGAGGTTGCTGACCGCGGATGCATTCATACATCGTCTAGAAAGGTCCATATTCATGCACAAACCGAACACTGACCATTCGAATATAATTAACGAGCTGAATTTTTGGGCGAAAACGTCTGGCCTCCTAAAAACTCGGACAGATGATATTTCTTTAATTCTAAATGTCGCAATGAGGTCGACCACGGGCTGCCGTCGTCGCTATCAAACTTTACCTATTAGGGAAAGCGTAGTTCAATATTACTGCTTCTTGCTCTAGCTGAGCTTGCACAGTTCTCAAATTGTCACCACTCGCTAATCAAATAATGACGGAAACTCCATAGAAAAATCGCAGAACATTTCAAAGAGTAACGGCTGATTCTTTTAGTCTCTAACACGGGAACTCTGAAGCTTTGCGTCTTGGCGACCGTGTCATTTGATAAGGAACGATTCTTGCCAACGAACTTTCCGAAGTAAAGTGATTCTTATTTTCTAGGTTGTGGGCATTGGCTGGCGGTTTGAGTCCAACCGGCGATCGTAAAAGTGACTCATAGGCTGAAAATATCCGGTCAGGGATCTTTTAATTGATTCTATTAATTAATGGGCATTGTGACAATGTGATTTGGAGATCACAGGAAAGTTTCCATTCACATTTTTTGATATCTAGGGAAGTTCTGAAAAATTGAGCATTGCATGATGCACTTTCTATAAATTTGTGTCTAAATAATTATAGCTAGAATTAGATTTCTGTTCTTTAATACATGCAATCAAAAGCTGTACATTGAAACCTACTTTATATTAAGAAAAGTATTACTGTTTTCTGTTTACAAATGTCTGTCAGTTGCAACGCCTTACGTGAAAAATCAGTCGAATGTCATTTTTAATCTCACGGTAGAAAAAAAAAAGTCCTATCATTTTGAATGCATTTGGACCGTATGAAATGAATTTAATAATTTATAACAAAATTACTCCTCGCGCTATTTTGCAATTTGAACTTTCAATCCTTATTAACTAATTTTAGACATCGCATTAACAGAAAAAGTTCTTATCATCGAGATCACTTGAGAATATTTTCATGTTTTGCTGCAATCGTTTTCTATTGGCGTCGATAAAGATATGGAAATATTGGAATTATTATTCTCAAGAAGAATTAGAATTATTCTCAATAATATTCAAAGAATTAAATAAGAACAATTGAAAACTTCATGAGATACCCAGTCGATGTGGCTACTTGCGGAAAGACCTTGCAGACATAGCTTCAGATATTCAATTTATTTACAGGATTTCTTGTCGCCGTCGCTTTTCAAGTTCAATTTTTTCGGATTGTAGATAATTGTACCGTTATTGTAGCTCTACTTGTAGATAATTGTACCGTTATTGTAGCTCTACTTGTAGATAACCAGAAATAAACGCTGTACGCGCACTGTGCAGGTTCATATCCAAACCAGCTTTTCCTGCATGCACACTTTGCAGGAAAGAACTGTATCCTTCACGCCCTAAGGGTTCGGAGGGGTCAGAAGCAGCACCACCAAAGGGTTCGGAGGGGTCACAAGCGGCACCTCCGAAGGGTTCGGAGGGGTTACAAGCGGCACATCCGAAGGGTTCGGAGGGGTTACAAGCGGCACATCCGAAGGGTTCGGAGGGGTTACAAGCGGCACCTCCGAAGGGTTCGGAGGGGTTACAAGCGGCACATCCGAAGGGTTCGGAGGGGTTACAAGCGGCACCTCCAAAGGGTTCGGAGGGGTCGAAGCAGCACCTGCAAAGGGTTCGGAGGGGTTACAAGCGGCACCTCTAAAGGGTTCGGAGGGGTCGAAGCGGTATCTCTAAAGGGTTCGGAGGGGTCGAAGCGGCACCTCCAAAGGGTTCGGAGGGGTCGAAGCGGCACCTCCATCGAGTTCGGAGGGGTCGCAAGCGGTACCTCCGAAGGGTTCGGAGGGGTCGCAAGCGGCTCCTCCAAAGGGTTCGGAGGGGTCGCAGCCATAATAAATATGGGCGATGATACGCGGAGATGAAGCCGCGCCAGGAAGCGGAGTTACCATAAATATTCTCGTAGCAAACCACCGCGTCTGGGGAGCTGCCCTGATTAAGATAAACCCGCGGCTGGACGGCTGCCTTCTCAACCGCTTAAACTGTGCGCCTGTTGTCCCTGTTACTGTTGTCCCTGTTGCTGTTGTCTCAGCCGCTTAAACCGGGCGCCTGTTGTCCCTGTTACTATTGTCTCAGCCGCTTAAACCGGGCGCCTGTTGTCCCTGTTGCTGTTGTCTCAGCCGCTTAAACCGGGCGCCTGTTGTCCCTGTTGCTGTTGTCCCTGTTGCTGTTGTCTCAGCCGCTTAAACCGGGTGCCAGTTGACTCTGTTGTTGCTATCTAAACAGCTTCTTCTAGCACCTGCACTGTTAGAAAAATTACCGTTAACGGTATTACCGGCGTTTCAGTGGCCGGTCGGCACGTGAAAAGAAACACCGTGTCGCCGTTTTTATTCTAATTTAACACTAAAAATCCGTAAAACATCTGATAAAAACGGCGAAACAGTTCATTTTCACGGGGCGACCGGCCACTAGAACGCCGGTGGGACCGTTTTTTCACCGTTTTTTCTAACAGTGTGTTATCCGTGCCTCTGTTAGCGTATACCTGCGATTGGTATTGCCATTCCAGCTGTTCATGTTGTGTTTTTTTTTTCTCATGATGTCTGAAGTTGTCGTTTCATTCTAGACTATATTTGTATATTAGTGCCGCAGGTCAGCCTTGACGTTGCATCAGAAATTTTAATTTTTTCAAGGCCTAATTTTGATTAACTCTAATGGAGACATACAGGAATATTAGAACTCTATTTGGCTAGATGTGCTACGTATATACAGATGCTTTTATTCTGCACGATTCGTCACACGCGCATGCATAAATAATCATGTTTTTAAATTCGTCAGAATTTCAGTAATTCTGATTCTGTAATTAGTTCGGAAGTTTGCAAGGAAACATTTGTTGTTATTCGTGTACAGCTGATCGAGGCAGTGAAACACGTATCTCACTTATCTCAGTAGTAGGCCAACACAAGATGAGACCTTATGACTCTCCTCGATTTACGAACAAAACTACGACTCGCGGTCATGTCAATTTACATCAAAGCGGTAATTTTTTTATGATGCCTTGGTACAATTCATGATGCCCCTGTCGTGTTCTATACTTTTCATGGAGCTCTGCAATTCCCCACTACTCACTATAGCCTCATTCGAATATCCCTACACGAATACCACCACTCGAATGCCCCCACTCGAATATCCCCACTCGAATACCCCAAGTCGAATACCCCACTCGAATACCCCCACTCGAGTACCCCACTCGAATGCCCCCACTCGAATATCCCCACTCGAATATCCCCAACACGAATGCCCCCACTCGAATGACCCACTCGAGTACCCCACTCGAATACCCACACTCGAATACCCCCACTCGAATACCCCCACTCGAATACCCCCACTCGAATAAACTCGAATACCCCGACACAAATACCCCACTCGAATACCCCCACTCGAATACCCTCCACTCGAGAGGATTCTTCTCTCGTTGAAAGCAATCGCTGTCGTGCAGCTCGTCGCTCCCACGAAGGAGTTGGGCCAGCCTATCTAAATCCTGCCGAACTGTAACATAAACCTGTCAAAGCGGCCTCACTAAAAAGATAGACTTCTTCTCAGATCCGGCAGCTATTGTGCAGATAGAGCGCTACAATTACATCCTTCTCCGACCATTGCTCCTCGACTTCATACTCACAGAAATGAGACTTTGCCTGGATAGAGATGTATTTTTTGACCTTGCGTGGGTCTTTCTGACCCAGTTTTGCTAAGCGTTGAAGGTGCCACTTCTTTTTGGGCAATATTACACAATAATTTTTCTTAGAACACTTGCAATGTCACTCAGCCCAGACGTTTTGGGCAGAGGAAAAATTTTCAGCGTTTCCCACTTGTAAACGACGCGTTTATAGTTGTTAACGTTTGTGTGACTTTTTATGATATTTTATTTCAGGCTTTTTGGACGTGATACTTTTTTTCAGCATGAGACACAGGACGTGCCTCATGCTCGAAAATTATTCTTCTGCTAAATCAATTCAGAGATTTTCAGTTTCGTGGGTAAATAATTATTAACTCGGCTTCACTAAATCCTTAATAAAGCCTGGAAATTTTTACACTGTCGTTTTCGACACTTTTTATTAATTTGCAAAAAATGTATGACAAAAATCGTCGTATTTAATTGCATGATGTTATTATATTCGTCTTTTGTTAAATTAATTTCTATGCTTTCGAAATGCATGAAAAAAATTTCCAGGACCGAATTGTACATCCTCTCCCTTATTAAGTTCTAGAAAATGCCCTCTTCATGAGGGCATCTTTTAAAAAGGATGCCATGAGGATCTTTCAGAAAGGATCTTTTGAGGAGGATCTTTTTAGAGGACGCCATGCACTCAGAAAAACAAATGGTCCCTATTTCCATGTATTGACACTCTTTCTCACCCACATCCGAGCAGAGAGTGAACGTAACACTTGATACGCACCTTTGCCGGTCCATCCTGTGTCACGATAACCCACCCAAGGCAAAAACTGCTTCAGTATTTGGACAGAGCCTCACTAATTTCTCAGAGTGCATCATCGGGCCGCAGGATTAAACACCCTATATCAAAATAAAGGAGCAATATCCTAACGCCCATTATGCGTGAACCTCCGAAAAGAAAGCTTGCAAATTCTGGCTGCATCTCAACCATGTAGTAAATGTCATATTTCATATATACGGCGCAAAGTTTTAATCATAGTATATAGTAGACACTGAGCCTTCCTTTCATAGTCTTTACTCCTCACCTTAGTAAACGTAAAGGATTCTTTAGCAGCAGGATTTGCTCCATTTGTTTGAGATTTTGCCGCTAACGGATGACAGTCATAGCAGCAGCCATTAGCATCCTAACAATTAACGCTAAGTGTCGTATCTTGAACACTGCGCAGCGCCGCTCTTAACATTAACAAGGATTTGTACCAACGCACGCTTTCCTAACTGCAATGATCCTTCGCTTCGGTCCAAGCTTCCTTTAAAAATAAAGCTTCATAAAGCCAGCCTAGTCAACATTACTGACGCAAAAATGGCCATACTGTGACGTGAATCTCCGAAGCTCTGACGCTCTTATCGCTAGAATTAGGCTAGGCAATTGGCACTTCAGTGAGACGGTGCAAAACATCAGATATGTTGACGGGGCTGACTTTTTCTTGAGGATGTCGTACGTCTATGTGGGTTATTAAATGGTATGTGCATTGGTAGCACTGTAATGTTCAGCTGTACTGTTACTGTGCAGTTATTGTACAGGTACTTCACTGTATAGAGGTTTCGCTGTACAATTTACTTCGCTGCTCAATTCTTTCATTTTTCAGGTATTCCACTGTAACTTTTTTATTCGTTGCACGGTTACTTCGCTGTAGTGTTAATTTGCTGTACAGTTACATGCTAACTTTTTCGCTTAAGTATTACTGGTCTATGCATCATTTCTAAAAAAAATTCCAAACAGCCAGTTATTCATTAATCAATCTTTGTATTACCACTTATCTGAAACTCTTCACCACAAAAGGCAGTTATTTGTAGGCAGTAGGAATTTCAGAGCAAAGTAAATAGCGAAAAAAATTATCTTGATTTCAAATTTGAAGAAAAGATAACTTTGTTTATAAATTCTAGGTATATTTGCAATTAAAGCAATCAAGTGATCTTAATAAAGACAATGAATTTTCACGCAAAAGTGGTCTCCTCGCTCTTACACTCTGGGAAATTGGTGAAAATTTGTCCGAATATATGAAAATTTGTCCGAATAATGTACTTCTTGCCATTGCATATCAGTGGTACGTGCAGATTGTTTATCACTATTTGTACAACATGACTCGTTCATTTTTCTGATTGTATGAAGCGTGCAGGCAATCAAGCAATCACGAAGATCCCGGGAATGGCGACCCCGCTCGCTGGAATATTCCCATTCCCATTCCCATGAAATGTCGGGATCACGGTCGTTCCTGGGAACGATTCCCCACAACTGATCATTTAAGGAATCAAGTGTGGCCGACCGTATGAATAACTTTAGCGACTCAACCGTGTGAATCATTTTACCGACTCAACGGTGTGATTAATTTTACCGACTCAACCGTGTGAATAATTTTACCGACTCAACCGTATGAATAACTTTACCGACTCAACCGTGTGAATAATTTTACCGACTCAACCGTATGAATAACTTAACCGACTCGACCGTATGGATAACATTACCGATTTAACTGTATGAATAACTTTACCGACTCAACCGTATATATAACTTAACCCGAATTATATAACTTAACCGACGTGACCGAATTCGATAACTTTACCGACTTAATCGTATGAATAAATTTAGCGGCTCAACCGTATGAATAACTACCGATTTAACCGTATGAATACCTTTACCGACTGAACCGTATGAATAGCTTTACGACTTAATATCGTGTTTATAACTTTACCGACTTAACTATAGAATAGCTTTACCAATGTGAAAGTATGAATAACTTTACAAATATATCAATCATGGTTTGAGGTGGCGCAAAATACACTCAAATAAATAAAGGTTATTATATCAAAATAGTGACGCACTTTCTGCAAGTTGCATTGATACGCATTAGCTGCTTGAAGTAGTCGAAAATAATTTTCTTTTCGTCATGATTTAATAAATTAATATTGATTTTTGGATGTCTGGCCGGGGCGCTGGTTAGCTTATAAAAAGGTATTTTTGAGCTAATTCATGGACCCTAAAATACTCGGTCGAATATCTTAAATTTTATCTCATTTAAAAAAAATAATAATAAATAATAATAACAATTATCCGAAAATAATTTTACTCTAACCAGCACAAAGGATCCTGCTTCAATATTTATTTTAAATATTTATTCTAACATATAAACATGGTTAGCATAAAACCCTTCTTTTCACGGTGTGGTATGATTGCTGAAAAATATAAAAAATACTTGAAAGTTCTCGGGTTGCGCCATCACAACTCTTCTAAGTACATGTGGTGTCAGAAGTATACGTAATGGCCTATATTTAGTCTGTGATTGGTGGGTTTTGCTTGTGACGCCGTCAGTGATTGGCTGACGGAGTTTCGAACTCGTAACTAGTTTTAAAATTTCGGTCCCTAGTCATTTAACATGCAAAAGTTTCTTAAATTTGATTAGCTTCCATTGAAGCTGTGCCACGGATTACAAAAGTGCGATGGCAACTATTTGTATCATATGCGATGGACTGTAAAAAATGTGTATCGTATTTTTCGTGACTTGTTCACAATTCAGAAAATAAGTGTAAACAATCCGCGACTATTCCTTTCATGCATGTGACAGTTTCCAACGTCAAGAAAAATTGAAGTGAAGGCAGAAATTTGTTATTTCAGGTCATGATAAGAGTTGCAGCCAGTCCTCCATGGCCGAAAAAAGTCCCAAGTTCCAGTCATAGAGCCCATTGAACAAAGCGCCTGCTCTATTGTGCACAAGACAAGCATGTTTTGTTAATTAGAACAATTGATCTCAGACTCGGAGATGAAAGAACTTCACAAGGAGGAGTTAGACTCTGCGGAAGTCAGCGCAGTTCACAAGCGTATTCATGACATGGCAGCTCCGTTTCATCTTCACTCTCTTATCCTTCTCGATAATTATCCAAAAACGCTTCCTTTTGTCCGAGGAAGATTCACAAGCCATGTCTCGTACGCCCGACCAACCTTTCGACCAGAAAAAATTAATTCTAAACGTAAAGAGGAATCAACGGCTCAAAAAAAAAGACGTAAAAGCTCGACAAAAAAGTTGGTAGCACGCCCCCGGGGCATCGAACAATTTCAGAGACTGGGTTTTCTTTCAACCCTTTGAAGTTTTCGGATGATAATTGGCATGCTAAACACAACTGGGATAACTTCAACGGGATATGCCTGCAGGTTCATTTGCATCGTCTTCTTATCTTGGCGAATACAAAACTCCGATTTGCTCTCGAGGAGCTCATGCCTACCAGCAAAATTTTGCCGGTAGAAATTAAATTTGGAGGAAAGGAAGAAGAGGGATATTTATAAATTAGTAAATGGAATTGCTCACATGGAAATATATAAAATAAATGTAATATAGTTTAAATTAATAATTTTATTCGTACAACTCAGTCATGTTAAAATAATTTTAGATGCATATTCGATCAGACTTAGCGCTAACGATTCATAGTGCATATATATATGCGTTATTGTAGATGAGTCATCGTACGTAAAACATTATACTTTTAGAAGCAATTTGCCCTGGATAACCAAGCCGAAAAATAAATTGGAATGCTTCGACTAATTTAAATATATATTTTTACACACTCAACCCTGTTCTAATTCAGGAAGTTTCTCTTACTGTTCCCTGCGGCACGAAATATTCTTAAGGCGAGGGTAGCGTGAAATGAAATTAGCATGATTTCATCCCAGCCTGGAATGATCAGAATAAAAGTTTCAAACTTGCCGAGGTGTCAAGTTCTTCAGATGTTCATTGATACTCTGATAAAAATGGCGGCTGTCATTAAGAGATCCCGCTTTAGGAGAGCCTGGGGAGATGTAGGGGGTCTGCAAAAACTGGAGCGGCTTGAGGAAGAAGTAGGAATTTAGAAGCGTTGGATTTAATTGAAATCTATCGCACAATCTTTGACGGCCAGCCGCTGATCATTTGACTGCAAGCGTTTTAGATGTGCATCATGTATTATTCAATTATATACGTTTATTACATGAATTTATACGTCCCCATTAAAGATGTCTCTTGTTTGGGGCTCGGGACTGTCCTGCATCTCTGTCTTAGAGTTTGGACCGTCCCGCATCTCGTGCTTAGAGCTCGGACCGTCCCGCATCTCGTGCTTAGAGTTTGGACCGTCCCGCATCTCGTGCTTAGAGCTCGGACCGTCCCGCATCTCGTGCTTAGAGTTCGGACCGTCCCGCATCTCTAGCTTAGAGCTCGTGACCGTCCCGAATCTATATTTAGAGCTAGGACCGTCCCGAATCTATACTAAGAGCTCGAATCTATACTCTTGCTTAGAGCTCGGACCGTCCCGCATCTCTTGCTTAGAGCTCGGACCGTCCCGCATCTCTAGCTTGGATGTGGCCTAATTTACTGTGGGTATTTAGGAGGAACGCTTTATGGCATTCCTAATAGATAATATAGATAGCCGATATTTTGAAGCTTGGAGCGGTGCTACGTCTCCTCGTAATGATGCTATAGATGCCAGCCCTCTGCCTACCTTCGATGAATGAGACGAGGCAAATACATCGCCATACACAGCGCTCTACCCTCACCACGGTCACTCATGTATGTCGTTTGCTTATCTCAGTGAGAACATAAATCATCCCATCATGGTAGGCGTAAATTCAGCACGAGTACAAGTGAGTCCCGACATGATTTGTGATTCTCGAGCTGTTCACGAGCTGTTCAAGATCAGTTAAATAGATTTAATTTTTTTTTGCTGTGAGTATCCAAATTCAAATCACATTAATCAGGCATCTACTCTCAAATAAACGCTAAATTAACCGTTGTTTCGCTGCCTCGACGTTGATTAAACGTTGCTTCAACGTCATTTGCCGGTAGTATGTTGGTTAAGTTGTAATTCATTCAGTTTCAGTTCATTCATTTGAACACCTCTCGCCGCTTGAATGCGGATGAATTCTTTCCGTTTTAAATGAGCAATGGTTACAAAATTCAATTGAAATAATTGTCATTTAGTGATTTACTCATTTTAAAAACACTCAACATGTGAATTGCACTAAATCTGTCACATAAGAACTCACATGACGAATCTGATTGAAAAATGCACATAACGAACATTTCAATAGCGAAAACTACTATTTACGTCCTACTATATTTAAATTTATCTATACCCATTTATAGATAGTTGCACACTTCGAGTTATTCGGTAACTTATGTATTCTGATATATTTTTTTTCTGTAAATATCACTTGAATTCCGCGAAATAGGTAATAAAATATTGGTAGCTATTTCCGTAGAGTTTTGCTGACCGGTCGCTGCATCATCCTGATGACGCGTCAGTCAGTGTCACCCTGGGGCCATACTTTCAAAACTCGCTAAGTGAACGTAAGTACTTTCGCTCTATTTTCTTGTCTATGATTGGTGGATTTGGCTTGAAAGACCACCAATGATTGGCTGATGAACTTACGATCTCTTAACTTTTTTTGAAAGTATGGCCCAGATGTATAGCCTGATTCTACGCTCACAGAAATGAGTGGGACTGTGTACAAATAATAATGCACATTTTATTCCTGTGTGGGTCATGCTGATGCAGAGTATATCGATGTTACGTTGAGAAAGTTTGTCATGACATGGACAATCGGACTCCTTAATTTTCATGAGTGAATTTCTCACAACAATCACTTACGCTATCCTGAGGGTTAACAGTTTTTACATCACTTATTTTTATTTGATGTTTAAATTTTTCTCATTTGACGACTAATACTCGATAATTTTCGTTCACTGTCGATTCGCTTGAAATATTAATTATCTCAACTTTACGATGACCTCTACATAATTTGCCTTTTTAGTGTGCGATAGATGAACGAAATTTGGTCAGTACTGCAGCGCCTATAGTTTTTGATATGAATGAAATGAACTGAAATATTATGTCATTCAATAAATCAGACACATTCATTGAAGCTAGCTTTTTGACGCCGAAATCTCATTATACCGAAAGTTAGAGCAATTTAACCTCAAACGTGTTCTTTGCATCACTGAACCAATGATTTTAACTGAATTACTAAAGATTAATAACAACAAATTTTGAAATGCGTTAATTTTTATCTTTAGATTACTGAGGACTGTTGTTCAAGGAAACAACGACAATAATTTATTTGAAAATTTAACAATCAGACATATGATGCATTCGGTCTACATTTGTTTACAGTTTAATTTGACGTAATATAATATAATATAATATAAAGTCGCTATCCTGAAGGGAGTATTCTGTTACAGTCATCTTAGTATTTGCAGTCGATTCAACAATAAGCCTTTGGACTTCTTTGTTTCACCTTACCTATAATATAATATAATATAATATAATATAATATAATATAATATAATATAATATAATTTATAATATAGTATACGTCACAGTTGTCGCTATCCTGAAGGGAGTATTCTGTTACAGTCATCTTAGTATTTGCAGTCGATTCAACAATAAGCCTTTGGACTTCTTTGTTTCACCTTACCTCTAAAATTCTGGAATATCATAAAACGTATTCATGGCGTCGTTATTTTGAAGGAAGGGTTCTCATTTTAGGCGCAGGTTCTAACCACAGCACCTCAGCCGGTCAGGATATAAGGCTCATGCTTCAGAACTTTTTCGGGCTCGCCATCATAAAGTCTGAGTAAAGGCCTCCAAATTATTCGCCTTCCTTCATACATCAGGTTTTGGGCGGAATGTTTCCCGTGAAGGACGGACTTATATATTTGAACTGCCGCGTGGAGGCGGTCTACCGCTTCTTGCCGGCGCGTCTGCAGCTCGCAAGTATATTTTTTCTTGGCATTTAACTTTTGTTTACTGACGTTGAATTTTCGCGCCCCGATTTAGAGGATTTTAATGAATTATTGAATCTGTCCAATTTCATGTATTTGTGTGAATTTTGTTCAACTACGATATTTACCCTTTGTTTAGTGACGCCTGCGAGTCTGCCGCTTGGTGGTATGATTTTTTCTCGCATTTACCCTTTGTTTACTGATGATGATTCGAATCAAATCATCTAAATCAAAAAGATATTTGATCAAATCTTACCGATCAAATACAGTTGTGTTAATTAAGTTCATTTGTGTTATTCACCCCTCCGTTCACTGACGTTGAAATTGTTCGCCTTTATTTCGGTGATATGAATGAATTCTTTAAACTAACCAATCAATTACTTTTGAATAAATTAAGTTCAACAATGAAATTCATACTAAGTTTACCGACATTAAATCCTTGCGCCTCGATTTATGTTTTTTTGAGAATTATCGAAGCTTAATAAATCCAACATATTTGTATAAAGTAAGTTCAATCATGATATTTACACTAAGTTTACCGACATTAAATCTTTGCGCCTCGATTTATGTTTTTTAAGAATTATCGAAGCTAATAAATCCAACATATATGTATAAATTAAGTTCGAACATGATATTTAACTTATATTTACCAACTTTGAAACTTCGGGCCTTGATTTAGGGGATTTGAATTGGTCATTGAATCTAAGCTATCATATTTAACTATAGTCGAGGGAATTTCAATTTTCTTTCTTTTTTGGTATTCAAACTTCATTCCTTTTAAATTTTTCATTCGATAAGACAAATCAAACTTTTATTGAGAGGTAAATTCTATTTACACGCTTGAAATGGAAATATTTTTGCTTTTCTCAAGATGTGCGTTTGTTCCATGATATTCTCCAAAGTTATATCTCGTTATATGGACACTGAAAAGGATGAATATTGAATAAGGCCAATTATTAATATCACATAAAAGAATTTAATTAATAAAGTCCCATACATATTAAAAGGGATGCATTCAAAAGCTAATAGATTGGAAGTTTCTATTAATCATTTGAAAGCAATTCAGACGATAAATGAAAATTTTTTAATTAAAAAATAGAAATAAGCCGAACATAAGTGCAGCATAATTTCTATCTTACTCAATTCTCCCGTATAATTTTTTCGAAGTTTCCATAGATTTTTTGTGATATTTCTAAATATTTGTGCGAGATTTCCGCGTCATTTTTGCGAAGCGTCCATATAATTTTTGCTGGATTTTGATATAATTTTTGTGAGATTTCCATATAATTTTTGCAAGATTGTCGCATAGTTTTTGCAAGATTGTCGTGCAATTTTTGCAAGATTTCCATATAATTTTCGCAAGATTTACACAAAATTTTGCGAGATTTACATTTAATTTTGCAAGATTGTCAAATAATTATTGCAAGATTTTTATATAATTTATGCGAGATTTCCATATAATTTTTGCAATATTTTCATATAATTTTGCCAGATTTACATATAGTTTTGCAAAATTGTCACATAATTCTTCGCAAGATTTACATTTATTTTTTGCTAGATTTCCACATAATTTTTGCGAGATTTCCATTAAAGGGTTCATCGTTGATTGACTCGACCCTTGTTCCCCTCAGTTGGTCGCACTTCCCTCTCTTGCCAGTCATTAGAGCTCCAAGTTATGGAGTCCATTTCGAGTGACATACGCTTTTTAATCAAGTGATATTAGATTTGCCGGGCTTAACTTGATATCATCATCCAAGCAGCTAACTCTCCTCAATAACCTTCTATACGAGGCTCTAAAGCAACGGACTTCTCACTTAATGGTTTACTGATATATACGTTTTCCGCGATTCAGATTCTGTCATGCGGTCGGTCATTGAACGATTGGCAACCTCAAGTGTGAACCTTTTGATGAATTCGCAATAAAAGCGTATTAATTCAGGGCATTGTTTTGAAGTCAAGCCCCAGTCATATTCATGATGTACTTGCGGAAGTATTTTTGTTAACACAAGTAACTGAGACAGATTAAATAAGGTTCATGAGTCTGTATTAATGAGTTAGAATAATATTGTTGCATATCTAATAGGCAGTAATATTTTCACTATTGGATAGCTGGATCAACTTATAATCTTTATAAATAATATTAATAACAAAAATCTTATTAAGATGACTTACAACATTGACAGCGAGTTGTTGCGGTCGATTCGTGTTCGATTGCAATCCCATCATTTCGTGTGCACAATCTTCCAAATTATAATTCATAATAGAATTTTCTGTCTCTCAAAATTTGATGTGCGTATACTTCTTTCACATGAAAGACATTTAATGGGGCAACATATAAATTGATTGAATGCGTTACATAAGTCCATCTTTAAGCTGCGTGTTCAAATATTTACTGGAAATTTGTTCAATTATTAAGTTCGT